ATATATATATTTCGTCGTTGTTATTCACTGGAAGAGCAGTCACATTGGTATTTTCAACTCGAAATACTGCTATATCATTGCCTTTATTCACATACTTGCAAATATATTTGATGCTCTTCTTTTAAGGGCATGCATAAGTATTAGAGTTTAATATGACTTGTTGCAACGTGCGTGAATATTATTTTTGATTTATTATGTTTCTATGTCTAGTTTGGATCCGAATACGATTAAATAAAGATATATTTAAAATATACGTTAAATCTGTCCAAAAAATGAAAAAAAATTAGATACAAACCATTCTCGAATCCTTCTGAAGGTACACAGAAAATTTCATTTAAATCGGTCCATCCGTTTAGAAGGAGTTCAGTGACAAACACACGAACAGGCGAATTATATATATAAAGATAGATTATGATGTATTTTTCTTTTAAAATATTGAATTACTAAAATCAGTTTTTATATTCTTATACATATTTTATATATAATACACNAATCACCACCAACAATTGCTTTCAATATGTCGGTCTAAACACTTTGGCATGCGGCCCTTCATTGGTCAATCTGCTGTGCATGTGGCCCTTCACTGAAAAAGGTTGTGCACCCCTATAATACACATTTTATAAAATTATCAGTTACTGATTTATTTTTTTCTTCTTATTTTTATTTAATTGTTTAAGGTAGAAACTTCTTAAACTTCAAAAATAGTGAAAATGGGGATCACTTATTATTACTTTTATTCAAATTTTGTAATAAGATGTGCTGCTGAAAAAAGGGCTTGAAAAATCAATTAAATATTTCAAGAAAAAAAGGTTTAACAAAGTCAACCTTTCTAATATGGAGTGGAATAAAACAAATTGCGTTTTTAATTCATTTTTTTAAAGAAAAAGAACTTAAAATTTATCATCAAAGTAGTTGAAAAATTTTGTATTTTAACTTAAGACATTATGACAAAGCATGGACACAGCTTTTAAAAATGGTGTTTGTAAATTCCATATCAATTACAATAATTTTCCTTTTTTTTCAATAAGATCGATTTTTTTTCTATTTTAATGTAGATTGTGTTTTTGTCATATCTTTTTTTTTGTTCCAGTTTTTTTAAAATTAGGCTGATTTAATAATATTATTGGCATAATTTACATAATGCATATTTTTTTCCTAGAAAGGGGAAAAAATGGGTTTTAGATAGAAAGAGAGTAAATTGAGACTTTACCTGCATTTTGCAACAATATAATTTGAAAATTATAATAACTTAATAAAGTAATGATAATAACAATATATTTCAACAATAGAAAAAAAAAACAATAGGTCAAACTCATCTTACATTTATCAAACATCTTATCAGGCACCATAGAGAAAAATAACCTAATTATAAATAAGTCATGAATTAAAACTAACATACTTTATCAACTTTCATCTGTATGTTATCCCTTTGATTTATAGAGCCTTTTAATATAGTACCATGATGAAAAGTATATCCTTGAAATGATGAGACATGCTTAACTTCAAGCAGAAAATTCTAAATGAAAGAATAAATAACAGTAAAATGAGCTACAAGACAAATAAGAACTATGTTGAATTTCAAAGAATATTAGTTATATGATATTGACATTTACAGTGTTTCCCGATATATAAGTCAACTTTTCAAACCCCAAAATTTGAAGATAATCAGAACTGTACACCAGTAATAAAGTCAGACATTTGTTGCAGATTTATGGTGTGTTTTAAGAGTTTTCGTTGCATTACTTTTTTCGAAATACTCCTCAATGAATTTTTTTCTTCTTATTCTTAATTTTTCTGAAACTTATTTAAAGCATTGTTTCTAAAAAAAAAAAACTTTATATGTAAAGAAAACAGATTTAGGAAAATGCATATATAGTTACATGTAACATATTAAAAATAGTTTTTGAAAAGGGTAAATTGATACCAACTTGTTCATACCTATCTCATTGTTTATAATTTATGGATATTTCACGTCAACAAATGTTCGACTTTATTACCAGTGAACAAGCCGACCTCTTGACTTTAGCAAATTTTCAGCATTTTAAAAGTCAACTTATACACTGGGATATTAGACACATTAGAGCTCTAATTAGTCAGAATTTCGATCCCAAGATTCTACCCTCACAGATGCAAACGCGAGTTTATAAAAATATAGTGAAACGATTTCGCTGAAGGAAGAAAAAATTAACTATGAGCAGCAGAATAAATTTTTTTTCGTCTGTTTGCTTCTAAATTTTGATTACAAAAGTCCCTCAGTTTAAAAAAATATTTAAACTGTATTTCGACAAAAAAAAAAAGCTAAACTAAATAAATAACAATTAAAACCTATTAAAAGAAATAAAAAGCTTAGGTGATAAAACAAAATGTGTAACCTATTTTCAAACATAAATTACACAGATACCTCATTGGATATAAGCCCAATATCCGAAATCTGGCCACCACCTTCAGAGTAAAAGTTACTTTTATCAGCAACTAATATACATTCATCACCTTCAATTGCAGATGAAACTAATTCACCATTCTTTACAATAGCTGCAACAGATGATGAAATGCCCTCAACACCTGTGAGTAAATAAATATATTTTAATAATTACAATATGGATGATAATGATTTAGATCATGATTTTAACAATTTCTTTACTTATGTTTTTTAAATCTTCTTTTTCTTGGACACTACAGTTTGACTATCTCCCTAGCTGACTAAGTTTCATCCACTTGACAATTTCCTCAGTTTTCTCGTATTTGCTTCAGATTTTTTCAGCATTATTTGATTTAAATCATTAAAATAAAATTTTTTTCAAAGATAAAGAACATTTATCTTGTTTTTCAAGAGATTATGAATAGTGAAAACAAATCATTTTCAAAGTAATAAATCAATTCAAATTTTTTTGCATATTATATATATAGATTTTTTTTATGACAATTAAAAAACAAACGCTACAAATATTTTTGAAATATAATTATTTTTAACTTATATTTAGATAAAATTATACAAGAGATGAAACTTTTAAATGACAGACTAAAAATAACTTTCATACATTTTATTTGTTTGAAATCCGTCTCAGAATGCATTCAAAATGTGTTAGAATTGTAAATTCCATTTGCTTTTTCGGCAGTTACTTTCTGGATTTTCACATAGCATTGCAAATCCTGATACTTCTTAACAGAATATAATTAATACAAACACATTTTAAAATGCATATTTGTAGATCAAATCACTTTTTAGCAGTTTCCATCATAAATTTGTCAATTATCAGTAATTATTACTATGGATTTTTTATAGTGCAAACACTATGGCGTATATATTGAGTAATCACTTTTTGACTGGCTCTATTTATCGTATATCCATGTGGTCTTATAGATCAGTTATTTGGCTGTTATTGCTTTAAATGGGTTTTTAAAAACAATTATCTTAAATAGGATATAATTATGACACAAGTTCCCACATCTTGACTGTAGTTTAAAATTGCTTCGGCTCATATTTTTCTCGTCACAAGATGAAAAAGTTATAAATTTTTTGGTTTTTAGAAGTCTTGAGTTCTGTGGTTATTTTGTATTAACTTCCTCGCCAGTGTACTTTCAGGCTTAAAATTTACTAAGATATAGCATGATATTTTTAAAAATTTCACAAATCATTGTTTTTTTATGTATATAATATTAGTCAAATTGATGCAAAAAACTATATAATAGCATTGTAAAAATTTTATGCATCTTCTTGAAAAGAGACAGTATAATAATAATAATATAAATTCTCTCTACAAAGAGTCTAAATTATGTTTTATAAAAAAAAATTCCATGGCTTTAAAAATCATTCCTTCCTGAATTTTAATCTTTTTTTCTTAAAAAAAAAGAAAAGAAAATTAAGTTTTTTTATAGTTTGTTTGCAATACTTAAGCATTATGACTAACTTAACATATACACGAAGTTATAACTTTCGCAATAGTTGCAAGTTAGCAAATGTGGTAGATTAAGACTGTATAATTTGAAGTTAGTTGACATGACCTCATATTTATTTTTTAAACTGCAATTATAATGTTTTTCTTTGCTTTATAGCTGTTTATAAAAATAGCAATTGTAGAAAGAAAAACAAAAACACAGAATAAAATTTTTTTAAATAGTTTTTAAATTTCAATAACTATTATTATTATTTTAATTAATTTAATGCTCATAAATCTGTATTCAATTATAGAATAAAACTAATATTTAAGAGCGAGAATGTAAAAACGTGTAAACATAAATATTTAGAACAGTTTTATGATAAATGAAAATATTAAAAAATACATATACATATAGTTATAGAAAAATAAAATAAGGTAACTCTTGTATGAGAAAGTTTTATCTTATAGTTATAGATGATTTGTTAATTGTTGATTAAAAATAATTCTTAATAATATCATATTAATATGTACGACTTAACTAGCATAGACTTGCAATAGAGAAAACTGAACACTACAGCTCTGAAATAAACAACCTTTGTTTCAGTGTTCTCTGAGCAAAAAAAAAAACAAACTATTGTGATAAAAGAATCTTCCATTGCTGTAAAATAAAACTACCACTATACTGTCATAAATAAAACTATCATTGTTGTAAATAAACCATCCTTTAGTGTAAACAAAACACCCGTTGTGCAAGCAAAAAGATTTAAATAATTAGAAAGCTAACCCTTACCAAACTCATGTTCACTAGTCAGGTAGTTATATTTAAACGAATCATTTGTGTGCGTAACTCCATATTCTTTTAACAGTTCTGCAATTTTAAAAAACATACTAATTTTTTCTTCTTTCCGCTTTTGATTGTTTTGATGCTGAAATAGAGACAAAAAATGCTTTATAATTTTTTTGGTAAATATAACAAATTTAAAACAGTAATTAAGAAAAATTAAATTAATTTAAAAGAAAAATAATTATGTTACGTTTGGCACAGGGTGTTAATATCAAACCAAAGGTTCGTGATTTAAGACAAAGGGCTCTAAATTTATCTTTAATAAAGTTATTGAGAAAAATACTGTGAAGTCAGTTTTGCTACATGGTGAAATTTCGTTGAAACTCTGCATTCTGCCAAACTATCTAAAATACTGATAGAAATTTTTTTTTATAATTTGATTTGCTTTCTTCTTTTGAATGCAACAAATTTAAGAATATATTTAATAATTAAATTAAACATTTTGACATAAAGACATGCAAATATAATTAAAAATCACAAGTTTTAAAGTATCACATGAAATAAAAATTAAACCATAAATAAATCATAACAAATGAAAGCAATGAGATAATGAGACAGTTAATTAAATTAAGTGTACAAAATTAATAAAATAATCGTACAACCATAGAGAATACAAAGGTTAAATGTTTAAATGGCAGCTAAATCATCGCAGATATCAAATCAGTAAAAATTATTTTTCAGAACACTCAGCTTTTAAATTAATGGTTTATTTTCCATAAATAAGTTATTAAGAATAGCTATTATTTTTTTAAAAAACTAAATATTTTACAAAATTATAAATATCAGGACTCCCACTCAATTTCAGAAGAAAAAAAAATTCCATGACATTTCCAGATATATCAGGTAAATTTCAATGAAAATTCATACCATATTTTACCTATACAATGCATTTTTTTCATCAGAATACATTGATATATTTATTTGTGTAGTCAAATATTAGACTTTGTGAGTAAAGACATATAATAGAATGAGAATGGAAACATAGAAAATTTTCACTAAAAAAAAGAATTTTATAAAATAATTGTAGTTGATGTTAGAGCAATTTAACTTGAATCTCAATAACTGATTACTGCTACTGTCAATTCTAAGACTGGTTATTTTCCAGGTATTTTGTTAAAAAATTGCAAATTTTTCTGCTTTTAGAGTTAAAATAAAATTCCTTGACAAATCCAGGTTTTCCCAGGTCTCCCTGACCTGTGGGAGTCCTGAAATATGTCAACAAATTTTATATACCTAGATACCATACTTAGATATAAATTTAATATATCTAGATAACTACACACCACATGTCAAACCACATTTTTATATACCCAGAATAGTCAGTAATTTTAAAAGCAAGGAAAACAATATATCTATAACAATACAGCTTTAAAAAATGAAAAAAAAAATTTATTAAGAGAGGGAGTAAGATTTTAGCAAAATTGTGCAAATTTAGGAATTGAAATGGCAAGTATAGTAAAGAGTTTAAAAAAATATTCTTTTTATATGCTTAAAAACATTAATTTTATAAACTATAAAGAACATTACTGTTCCTTAAATGTAATTACACTTGAATAAAATGTACAAGGATTCCTAGCCATATCTCTTTTCATGAAGATTTTCTTTTTAATAAAAAATAGGTGATCATTATTTACCTCAAAAATATGGTGATCGTGAATTATCCAGGGTCACCAAACATTTCTAGCTTAAGTTTTAAATTTATTGCTCTTAGATACACTGAGTAACAAAGACCGTGAAACTTTTTGTGCAAAACTCATATTTGTTACTTCCAGGATCAAACTAGGAATTTCAAGTCACATTTAATAAAAAACCCTTAAGAGAATGTATTATTTTTAATTTAATGGAAAGTTAAACAAATCTATTCAGTTTCGAAAAATTATATTTCATTTTTAAAAAAAAATTTTTTTTTTGGTCAAACAGTTTCAATTATCACTTAAATTGTAATCTCATAATCAGAAAGATATATATTCCAGTGTGTTTGTTTACTTTTACTTAACATCTAAACCTACTGAAATAAAAATTTAAAAATAGATAAGCAACTTTTTTTACACTTTACGTTAATTTTTCTTTTAATTTCATTATGTTACTTTTAAAATATCCAATAATAACAAAAATTTTAAAACATCCAATAAAGAATATCTCCAATTTCAATAATAGCAGATAAAAATAAATACCTTTTCATTCAAAACTTTATTATAGTCTTCCCAATCAATAGTTACATTAACTTCACCTGCCAAATCTTGAACTATATTTTCTTCCAAACCATGGACTTTCTGGAGTTCCCATACTCCCTGGCCTAAATTAAATTAAAAGTAAACAATGAAGAAATTTTTTTCTGAGTAAAAATTATAGTACAGCACAAACCAAAAATTAATGTCCATTTTGGGGTGAGCAACTGTCACCCATTGAAGTGCAGCATTTCAATGGTTAATGTGCAAACTTACTCCCTTTAAATAATAAAAACAATGAAAAATAAGCAACTTTTTTTACACTTTACATTCATTTTTCTTTTAAGTTACTTTAGTTAAGTTTAGTTTATTTTTCATCTACATTTGTTATTTTTATAGTACTATCTGAAATATTTAATAAATTTTTACATATTGCAAAAGAAAATAAACAAATAAATAAAATAAGAGTGTAATAAGGTTATTTTATGAAAAATTTCAAAAAGTTAACTATAAAAGTAAGTAATTAGGAAATTTAAAAAGCAGATCAATCAAATTTCTCAATAAAATATAAAATCACGAAAAAAATTAAAACATTATTTTCTTTTCTTTAAAAAAAAAAGGATCTAGCAGGACTTCAAAATAAATGCTGGATAATTACTTACAAGTTAATAGTTTAAATACATATGCAAAATTAATTACAAGTTTAAAGATTTTCTTTCTCAAATAAACTAGTCCTTACCATTCAAAACACTCAAACCACCAGTAGATAGCATTTTATTTCTAGCTTTCCGTCCTTTGTTGATAGTTTGGTGAAACAATCTTTCTTCTTCATTGACAACATATTTGATCTAAAAATAATCATAGAGAAATTTTTTAGCCAAAAATGTAAATAAAACACAGAAATTATTCATGAAATTGGAAACTTTTAAGAACCTAACTTAAAAGTTTTCAAGTTTTATAGATACTTTGTAAAGTACTTAAAAAAAAAAAGATCTTGCACATTTTATATGGGAATTGGATCCAGTCGATTTGGTTCAAATTTTGATATGATGTAGTACAAATCCTCCTGATCAAAAGTTCTCAAGAACCTGAGGTTAAAGAATGAACAGATTTTGAGACACAGAGTTTTTAAAACAATGTTTTGACAGAGATAATGGTTTACCCTCGTCATGAAAGTTCTTAAAATCTGTTCATTTATTTGGAATTGGGCCCATAAGGACTTTCGATCTGAAGAATTTCAACTACAAAATATCAAAATTTTAACCAAATTAACTGTGACCCAATCTCCATATAAAACGTGATGGGTCCTTTCAGCTATATAACATCTCTCATCTATCAGCAGAGTTCTCCCTAGGAAATAAAAAGGGCAGGGCAGTTCCTCTAAGAAAAAGACACTTTGAGTTTTGAAAGGGCATTAACACCTCAAGAATGTATCAAAATGTGTAATATAATGTAATAACTGAATTTTATCCTCAACAATTTTTAAGTTACTTATTAATGCTATTTTATGTGTATGCTTAAAAGTAATTCTTTCTTATTATCGAAATAAGAGAAAAATGATAGTTTATAAAATAATTAAAGGCATGCTAAAAGACAATATCTGTGCACAAATTGTTTTCAAAAAAATAAACTGAAAAAAAAAAGATTAATTGATAAACAACCTGAAAGCTTTTTTCTATAATTTAAACTGAAAATTAACATTTAAAGATGCTTTAAAAAAAGAAAATGGTTTCATTTAAAAAAATTTGAAATTTAATATCACATAAAATTTATTAATATCCTCCCCCGAAAATAGAGATACTTGTAAACATTTACCAATTGAGAAGAATCCTAACAAAGTAGATATTTGTATGAGTAATCAGAATTAAACCTATAAACACAGATAATTTTACCTGGGTGTGATTATTATTTATACAGCGAATTAATTTTTAAAAAAATGGAATATGAATACAGTGTTTTAAAGGGATAGCAGCTAATTTTTACAAAAAGGGCCAAGAGGGTGCATTTATTGAGATCAAAGCACAAGCAAGATGAGCCACCCTTCTAAAAATGCTTATCGAGAACACTGGTGAAGTGTCACGTAATGAAAAACAAGAACATTAGCTTCCAAAAAAATTAAATGCAAATTACCTCCTCAATATGTTTCGTAACTTCTGGAAAAAAGTCTAATGATTCAGCAACATATGGAACTAGAGAGCTCAAAGCTCCAGGTTTGGTTTTCATGACTCTGTTCGCTGAATAAGCAGCTCTTCTGATGATTTTTCTAAGCACATGCCTGAAATATATTATTATAAATGAGATAGAGTACATAAGGACTGTGTTTTAATATTTTGCTAATGGTTAATAATAACAAATAGACCAAACTGACAGGCTTTCCCAGGCTAATTACGATACACAAAGGGTTAAAGCAGAAGTATCACTGTAAAAAGTATCAACCGACCCGTTTGAGGACAAATAGTAAATATCAAATATCCTTTTAGACCTCTTAATCAAATGGTACCTTAAAGATCCTATCAGCATTGAAAATTGATGGGGTGTTTACCACATACATTGGCTACATTAGACAAACCAGATGTAAGCTAAAATAAATTTAGATTAAGGTATAACACAAAACCAGGAAATTTTGCTGCTGCCAAGTGACCAGCAGTAGCATTTTCAACAGTGACTGCCTTTTACAACAAGATGCCACTTTCTAAAGTGAAAAGATATTTTGAGAAAAAAGCATGAAATAAAACAATTTTCTTATAATAATAATTTTCTCAATAATTCCATATTTATTAAAATAATTATAAAATGCATGTGTAGCATAAAATGCATGTTTGACAAAAAAAAAAAAAAAAAAAANAAACAAAAAAAAAAAAAAAAAAAATAGAAGGTGATAGAAGGTAATAGAAGGTGGCAATTGGCAGAAAATTTTTGAAATATCATTTATTATAAAGTTGCCTTGTGGCTAGTAACAACTGTTAATTTTGCCCTACAGATAAAAGGACCACATATGTGTTTATCATTGAAAATTTGATAAAACATCGATTCACACAAACTGCTAGAATCTTTGGCACAAATTTAATTTCTACAATTCCAAAATTCATTTCACCTTTGTCATATCAGTTCATCTTGATGAGCTGGAATCTTTTTTTATTCATATGAGTGCCAATTACTTAATTAAAGACACACAATCTCACTTCCTCTTTTTAGTTATTCAAAATGCAAGCTTCTCAGCTCTCACCACTTCAGCGGTTCTTCTAGTCTGGTTGCTCACCTTTACTTAATTACTATTTCATCAGCAATTTTGCAATTTCTTTTTTAAATCAGTTTTATTTTCCTCATACAAGTCTGATGAGTAGGAGAAGGCATCAATTTTCAAAAGCCCAAAAGATGTTTTACATGCATTTATTATTTTTTAAAAAATGGATGAGGTCCCACTTGAAACTACTGTAGTTACTGTAACTCAATTACTCACTGATTGCTTGAGTCTAATGTTAAAAAAAGGTTAAGATTTTAAAAGAGAAATAAAAGAAACAGAAAATTTTTAATTCAAAGAATTAGAAAAGAACTTTCAAGCAGACAAGAAATAATACATAAGAAAAATTAATATTTATATGAAGTTATATCAATTAAAAAAAATTTTATTTTATATCTGAGAATTTATCTTTCTATTCTAAACTGGTGTCATAGTAAAAATGTTATTTTTTTTAACGATAAGGTGAATAAAAAATGGAGTATTTATTCAATTTAAAGTGGAAGAATTCAAGGATACTGTTTAAAATTCTTTTGCAAAAAAGTTATTGCTAAAAAGATTAAAAAGAATTGTTAAGATTAAAAATAAATATTTAAAAAATTATCATGTTTTTTTTTAAAAAAAATCTTTATTTTTTTTTTTTATAAAATCTTTATAATCAATTACTAATTCTCAATTTTTGAATATTTTTTAAGAGCCAAAGCAGGCACTGATGGAACAGCTTTTCAAATATTAATTTCAAGACTTTAATATTTTTAAAAAAACTTGGTTTTTTGATACTTTGCCCCATTTTATAACTACATAAAAAGATTCAGAATTATGAATATCTGTTAAAAAATTTTTTAACAGCTATAGCCTATTATTTGATAAAAAAAAAAGTTATTTCATGAAGTCAGAGTCTTTGGAAAAGAGCCTTAAAAAATGCAGTTATATTATATCAGGGTTTGTGATTTTTTTTACTTTAAATTTTTTTTTTAAAATTTGTATTCAAATACACTGTAAGAACTTTGATTTATGACTAAAAAAACTTTAGAAATGTTCAATAAAAATTAAATTAATATTAAAACTATGTTATAAGAATATTTCAGAAGCTCTAACTACATAAAACAATTTTTCATTATAATACAGAGCTTTGAATGCATAGCAACCATTTTGAAACAAATGCATGATTGAAATTTAAAGACTAGATGAAATAGAGAATTTAAAGAATGCTTTGACTACCATAAAACAAAGTTTCAATTACCAAACCATAATTTTAATTTAAAATTGCATTCATAAATGTAGTCATTCATCAAAAAAAAATATTTAATCTGTATATTTTTATATTAAAATATTCATTTTTAATCCTATACCAAAATAAATAAGTTAAGCTTAAAAATTTTAAAAAAATCTATGTAATCATTGAAATTTTTTTCCACAAAATTTCTTTATAGAAAATCTGATAATGTCAAAGANAAATAAAAAAAGTATCCATAATTTAAAACACTGTTTTTTAACTTTTTAAATCAATATATATACATTAAAAAATCAATTGATTTAAATCAATGATTTTTTAAAAAAAAATCATTTGATATAAATCAAGGAGATTTAAATCAACAAACCCTGTATTATACAGATTAATTTTGAAGAAAAGAATTATTCAGCACTTTTTATTTGATTGGTATGATAATTAATTTATTTTGACTTGTTTATTTTACCCAAATGAACAACAAACTCCACACTCATTGGCACTTAATCAAAATACAAGCAACTCTTGATTTAAAAAATATCATACAAGAGTTTGGAGACACAATTTGCTGACCATTAGCTAACCAGTTAAGTTTAAAAATATAATGAATTTTTTATGCAATACAATTTGATAAATACTATAACCTAATAATAAAAAATATTTGAACAAAAGAATAAAAGCTATAATTGAATCTTCTTGGCATTAAAAGTTGGTGCGAAAATGTAAATCTTTACTTTGCTTCGTAAAATTCACCCTTACTATTTCACTAATTTTATCTAGCTAAAAGGGCCAACATGAGTTTTTTTTCTGTTAAAAAAAAACAAAACAATTATTATTGTTTTTTTAAAACAAACTGTAAAAGGAACTTTTTTTATACCCTTTACGTCTATTGAATAGAAAGTAAAATAAACTGCCTAGCAAATTTAAAAGAAGGAAAATAATTCATTTCAATTTTGCTAAGAGCTAAAAAATAGCAATGAAAAGGTATTTTGTTTAGTTTAGGATAAGAAGATTTAGGATAGTTAGATTTAATATAATTAGATTTAGGATAATTAAAGAAAAAACTAAAATATACAGCAAGAATAAAATATACCTGAAAAATTGACAGTTGATTGAACATTGTCAGGTGAAATAAACTTACCCAGCATCAAAACTGTCAGGAAACATGCCATCAGCAATAGCAATGCTAAACATCCTCGAATGATCAGCAAGAATACGATAAGCCGTGTCGATACCATCACAATCTGAATTTCCAGTTTTACCAAGGTAGGGACGAACTTTAAAATTCTAGATTTTTTTTTAAAAAAAAAAGGAACACTACAATGATAAAAACTGATTGCATTTTTAAAATAAAAATAACTATTGATAATAAGATAATTAATAATAGACAAATTATTGAAAAATAATTTTTACCATTAGACACCCTTGAAACTGAGAAAAATGTTAGACTGTGTTGTAATTTACAGGAAATGCATGGTTAAGAAAAAAAGTATTTAAGTATAAGTTGGTCAAAAAGATACTTCATTCCAATATAAAGGAAAGAATTCTTTTATTCCTTTCCATTAAATAAATAGAATTCTCTTTTACAAATAAAAAAAAAACCTAAATTTACTATTTAAAGAAAGGGGATAAAAAAAATTTACAAAAATTAATGAGGTTTACTAAAAATCACAAATAAAATCAAGTTTCAAGTATTAAAAGTCAAAAACAATATGTGAAGCAATCATGCCAAAAAATATATATATACAAATCTGATATACGGGAAACAGAACTTAATTTAAACATAAGTTTTTTAATTAGAAACATAAAAATCACAATAACTTTCAACACTATACTAAAATAAGTAAAAAAGGAGAGAAAAAAACAATCACTATACAGGGTTCCCAATCCTTATTTACTAATGGTAATAAGACATTATTAAGACTTTTTTTTAAAGCTAATTTATAACTTTTTGAAAGCAAGTGTTACCTTCTTGGAAGACACAATGACAGCAATTTTCTCTCTCAAAAAAATATAAAACATAAAGCTATTTTTATTTTTACTTTTAAATTACATAATTCGAAACGGAACAATCTCATCAGCATTAGTTTGGATTGAATTTTTTAAAGTAATCAGCATTAGCTGTTACTGCTCAGTCTGGAATTTATTAAATTGTCGTAAAAAGTCCCCACATTCAATTTCTTTTACAACATTTTCTGATACAAGACTATACAACTTTGGACTTTCTAAGGCCATCACTTTAGCGGGAAAAGGATAGATTAAAAGACCCACTGCTGGCAATTTTAATAAGCTTTTGCACCTCTGCAAAAGGCGCCTCTTCGCGAAGACAACTAAATTTATTAGTAAAAGACTACTCTTATTAACATTTGTTATATTTTGCTATTTTATTTATTTTAAATTCATGTTAAAAAAAGTTTCGTTTTCTTTGCCACTCCCTGTAATGTTTGAATATCAATTACTGATTCAAGCTGTGCACACTTTGTGGGATTATTTTAGGATAAGGATCCTAAAAATATATTTTAAGGGTGGTGATTAAGGAAAAGCCTTTATTCGCTAGCCTATTATACATTGTTAAGTTAACATTAACCATTGAGCAATATTAGGCAAAACTACTTACACTTTGAATTGCTTTGAAAATTGGAATAAATATATCTGTGTCATAGTTAGAGCGGACTCCTTGCAGTACTGCTGTTAACCTCTCGAATCCCATACCAGTGTCAATGTTTAAAGAAGGGATTGTTCTCAAAACATTATCTTGTTCTCTATAAACACATAAAGTTATTTCATTTAAAAAATTATATTAATAATAAAGAATAGTCAAAAATTGTAAATAATTTGAAAACATTTTGCAAAGCTATTTGATACTTATCAGTTATAAGCAACATTTATTAGTGACTGCTTTTAAGAGTTTTCACCAACATGGCTATTAGTTTCTATAACCACTAAGTGTCAAATTTTAATACTGCAATACATTGTCAAACAATATCAATATTTAACAATATGGTACAATACTTTTCCAGTAGAACTAATTTATATTATTGCAAATTTAAATAATTTATTTAAGTGCAAATTTTCATTACCCAATTAAAATTTATCAATGCTCACAAGAATATCATATTCAATAATTATTGTTTTGTATAATATAACTTATATTATCTTTTCATAATGTTATTTTATTGATAATGATTGTGATATTGTTGTGTTTGATTATAAATTTATCAAAAACTATCTCAATGTAAACTATGCATTGTTATCATTAACCATTGTGACATTGTAATAATGACAAAAACTACAAGTATTATGGGGAGTCTGTTACCGCTGTAAATCGGAATCTGGTGTTTGCTACTACATGTTTGCGAACTTGGTTTCATGGTCCCTATAATGGATTAAAAGATAGAAAAAATTTATCTCAGTTTCAAATTAATAGAATGAAACTTGTATAATATAGATTTTTTTTAATTCGTTAATTAATAATTTCATTTAAATGGCCTCTTCATTTTTGCATGTAATAAACTGTGGATAGTTGATTTGATTGAGCTCAACTTTGAACATATGAAGAACTATCCAAAAGTTAACGATCAAAATTTTATGCCAAGAAACCATCTTTAAGTTTATTTATAGAAAAATAGATAAATTTAATTGCAAAAAAGTTTAAATCTGCAAAAAGGTAGCTGAATAAAAGGAATTATTTCCTACTTTGAAAACATATTACACAACATAATAAAATTCTCAACATTAATGATGTTAAAATAATTTGCAATGAAAAATAAAATAATTATTATTATTATACATAATTATCCACTACAGCATATAAACAATTTAAACAGTTATATAAAAGGTTCAGCAAAGAAATTGAGTTGCTTTAATAAAAATTTGAAAAACATTTTATGGCAATTGTACATGCCTTTGTTTTTAGTTCACTACTACAGATCAATATTTTAGGCCCAAAACTTGGATGTTAGAAGGTATGAATACATATATAATTGATTTCATACCTAATAATCGCTTTTTTCATATCATGTATGATACATATGCCTGTTGTTCATTTCATTCATACAGTAAAATCTCAATATAACGAGAAGTACATTACAACAAATTTCCAAGTCGCTGAAAAAATCTTATTGTTTAAAGATACAAAGTATGTTTATAATGAATCAAAGATGACTAGTCTTCCATTATTCACACGGAAAGTTTTTTTATTTAGGAAAATATGTTTAAGTGAGCAGTATTAAATTGAAACAGTTTAATTGGAAAACATCTTTATTTACTTCTGGCATGAATGCCAAAATAGAAATATCGCTTTCTTCTTACAATTTTAACCTCTTAATTTTACAAAACAGTGAATAGATTAGCATTGGCTTGTAATCTTTTTGCAACTAAATAAAAGTTCTATTTTTTTAAAAATCTTATGGTGCAATTCAAAGGAATGCGCCTTTTCTTAATGTATCTATGTTTCCTTAACAATGTATACCCCTTTGTTCCCATTCTGAGCCATATATGTGCCTTTGTTTATAATGACAATTTTCTCAGCTAATATGTATTCTGATTATAATGGACTTTTACTATAGTTTATTTTATTAAAAATACTTTTCTAAAAAAAATTTAAAAAAAAAAAACTCTGAAAAAGTAAAAAACTGCAGAACAAAAATATTGCAATACCTATTATATTGAATGAAAACGATGTTCCATATTTCCATTACATCCGGATTATCATTGTTAATTTTCTGGGAAACTTCTTGGAAACCAGTCCCAGTGAAATCATAATGGATTTCTGTACAAGGACCACATGGACCTTTATCTCCCATTTCCCAAAAGTTGTCCTTAGCTCCAAATGGAAGAATATGTCTTGGGTCCACACTGAAATAATAATAAAAAAGAAATGAGTTGCAAGTCACAGAATTTAAAAACAGAAAAAATTAAAAATGAAATGAACTAAAATAAACAGGCATCATTTTGTAATTTAAATTTAAGGCACTTAAAATCAATAGTTTAACTTCTGACAATCATTTATAACTGTATTCCATTAAACTTTTGAAACTATGTGTTTTTAAACTCTTATTAATACATTATTAAAACACCTATTAATACATTTTAATAAAATAAATAATTTTTTAAATTTGAATGAGAGAGTGAGAATCACACTTAGACAATTTGCTTATTCAGTTTCTATTTACAAATTGATGAACTGTTTCTACCCAAATAATAATGTCATTGACATGAAACATTCCGCATTGCTTTATGAGTGAGGGTATAATATGAATTACGAGTATCAAACTTTTATGCTAAATCTCCTAATATGGGTTCTAAAGACCCAAAGATTTCAAAGTTTATCAGAATTGGTGTATATAATAAATGAGTTGCAAAAGAAAATATTAAATGTCGAAAAAAAAAAAACTGGATAAAAAAATTAAATTAACATGCAAATGATATTATTTAGTTTTCATTAAAAAGCAGAGTTAGCCAATAAAACAAAAAAACAATAATTATAAAATAACTAACTCAATTAAAATGGCGATGAGAATTTTAAGATATTATTCACAAGTTTATGTGCATGTTTTCATTATTTTATATAGCAAAAAGTACCATCTTTAAATTATTAAATTCAGTAAAAGTACTAAAAGAATCATGTCAACATAGTAAAAAGAATGTCTCAGATATAAGCACCATTAATTTAAAATAGATCACAACAGTAAATGCTGTCTTACCCAATTTCCAACCAAACATTTTTACATTCCTCGTCTGGGAGTACACCAAGAACTGGATCACCTCCAAAGTAAGTAACATAGAGATTTTCAGGATTTAAGCCATAAATACTTGTTAAAAGATGCCATGCCATTCTACAAGCTTCCAGCTATGAAAGAACAAAAAAATTAAAGTATGAATTTTGAAACTTTATGACAGATTCCTAATAGTGTTTCAAAAGTTGAACTTTTTACGTCGTCTAATGCAAAGAAATCATGTATTAAGTTGGCAAAAAAAAAATTTTCTTTTTTGTTTCATTAGAGTGAAAAAAACTTAATACTTAACCAATATCTTCTGTTCACTGATTTTGTGCCCTTCTTTCACAATTCCACGCACTTAGAACTTCATGTCCTTATCAAAAATAAATTCAATCAAGAGAGATAATAGGTCAACCATTTTACTGAAATTTTTTCCATTTAAAAAGTTCTATGAATTTTGAAATTAATAATAATTTAATGATGCAAGATCAGAGCTATATGAGGGACAGCAAATTGCATAGGAATGGTGTTCTGCATCTTTGGTATTTCAAAACAAATTACTGGAGATTGGTTAGAAAATAATTTTGTATCCCCCATCTTGACCTCGAATTGCAACTAGTTGAGATCATTTCTGATAAGCACAGAAATTCTCAGAGCGTAGGATCATGAAGTTGCCAGAAGGATGGCAAAAGGTCATTGGACAGAATGGAGAAGTCCGATTTATTTAAGTTTCTTTTCTTGCATAGAAAAAATTGAGTTTTAAACTAAACTCAGTGGCATGACAGCCCATAGAGAGCCAAGGTCTACTGTGCCAATCTCAGTTTCCTTGACCTCTGGCTATTGAGCTTTATATTACACTAAAAAATCAAAATTACTTTCTTCTAAACCCAATACAATAATATTCTGTACCATTTCCTTCTTTCAACAATGGTTATTGCTGTAGGAAAACAGCAAGTTTGCAAAACAATATACATAAAAGTATGCATACATGTTCAGTTACACTTTAAAAAAAAAAAAATTAATTATCGATCACGCGCAATACAATTTTTGACCTTTTGGCAGAACTCATTAATAAAAAAAGCATGCATTTAGCAGTACTTGCACTAAAAGTTATTTTCATTATGACAACATTTCCCATAGGGTTATATAGAAACAAGTTTCACAGAGAAAAAAATTTTCGTAAAAAAATAAAGGTCTGATAGAATAAATTTAGAACAAAGTTCAAATTCTTAGAATAATGATCGAATTTGTCCTTACATTCATGCACTAAAAATTTAAAGTCTTACATGGAGAAACTTTATTTACGGTGAACATGTGAGTGCAGAGAAATGTGTTTTGAAAAGGGTTTCGTGGCTCGGGGAGGTGTTCTGCTGTTCGCACCGGTTTTGATCAATACTGGTAAATAGGAAAGCTAGACAACAAGGACCAATATTGAAAATAATGAAAGATCAAGGAATAAAAGTGAAATGGATTTTATTTAAAATGGCAGAAAACGAATTTTTTTTACAAAATTCACGAGATTTGCCATTTTGAAATTGATTAATAGAGTGCAAAAACTTCTTGCGTTAATTATCTTTAATGCGAGAAAAGAACAAAAAATTGCGAGATTCTCGCGTTCTCGAGCTGTATTGAAAACACTGCATAATGTGTCACATTTCAGTCAGAAACAGCATTGAGATATACATAAAGAAAATCTTACTTTAGAATAATCACCAAATGACCAATTGCCAAGCATTTCAAAGAATGTATGATGGTATAAATCTATGCCGACATCTTTTAAATCATTGTGTTTTCCACTCAACCTGACACACTTTTGACTGTTAGCAGCTTTTTTCAATCCGTAGAACGGGTGGCCAGGATATGTCTTGTTCAGCAACACAGATCTAAACTAAATGAGACAAAGAAACAAAAGTTTGATGGTCCTTAAACATTTTTTTCTTCAATTTTTAAACTTTTCTACAAAGAAAATTGATACAAAAAAGTATGTACAAAAAAATAAATTATGCTAATGATAATTCAGGTATGAATCAAAACAAGAAAAATAATCACGGTCAAAGAAAACATTGCCACTTTTCAAACTTCATAAGAATTTACAAATTATGATAACTGTTCATTATTGTTTTTATAACCTATTGTCAGAGATAGTACTGTGCAATATTAGGCTTTTTAATATAGCATTATCTCATAAGAAATAATAATATTTTACATTATATCGCAATATTTTCAATACATCTTATAAATTTACATATTATTTAAATTGCACAATGCTTTCTTGCCAAAATGGAGGAAAAAAATGATTCTTCTCCTAAAACACTTTTAATAATCAAAATTTTAAAAATAAGGTGCAATTATGAAAGATTAACAATATATATAAATTGAGAGAGAAATTATCAAATAAATAGAATTGAATGCATATCAATTCTAATTTTTGTTATCAATTCTATTACTACTACTTTATTAACACAGTAAATCAAGCTGTCTAATGATAAGTTTGAAACTGTTTTTGGCTAATTAGGATGAAATATTTTTCTACTTATTTAACTTCAAAAAAAAAAAAAAAATACAAAAAATTCTTACCTGGTTCATTCCAGCGTTAACAAACAATAAAGAGGGATCATTGTTTAAAAATACTGGACTGGAAGCAACAAACTTGTGATTATTTTCTTTAATAAAATAATCTAAGAATAAACCTCTGATAGCTTTAGAAGACAGTTTTTCTGAATTGCATTTCTCTCCTTTGATTTGAAATGTTGAAGATCGGCGGGCAAAAAATTTGCAATAATGAGTTCGTGTAGCATTGAAAACATTCATATCAATAAATATTAACGAACATTAAGCAAGAAGATTATTTAAAAAACAAAATACTTTTGAATGAACATGTCTTTTTAATAAAGGTAGTGTATAGCGTGAGGATGCCTGTGAATCCTCAGGAAACAGGATGATCCCTCAAGGCATGTTTTCAAGCATGCGCAGTATACTAATCATAATGAGTAACGCCTCGTCCCTGTCCTTCCTAGTCAGATGACTACGCGATAGAAAATGGCGAGAAATGGCATTTCAAAAATATGACTACTTCAAATTTATCCAAAACTAATCAAGGATTACATAAAGGGTATGTGACTATACTTTATTCAAAATATTTATTATCTGCCTTTTCACTAGAAATTTATACCTCCTTAAGAGTTGAATGATCATTTCTTTAAAATATTTGACTAACGAAAATCTTTATTTGATGTCAAAATGTGCAATGACTGGTGGATTACCAGAGGAAACCCGAATAGAGAATGATTTTTAAATTTAAATATGTTTATGCAATCCTTTGTAATAGTATTTAACGAGCATTTANACTGAAAAGAGGAGGAGAGGGAAGGGAGAAGGGCCAAAGGCATGAAACCAGGCTTTCTCCAGATGGCGTATTCGAGCGTTGCGATCGCCAATAATAAAGTTGTGGTTGTAGTTCATGTTCGCCGCACTAGGGTTCCGCAGTGGACTGATCGTTCAGACACGATTCCCAGCAGATCACCGATGTCAAGCATCACTGGCTGCGGTCAGTATGTGAGTGGGTGACCACTTGGATTAGTCTGAGTAAGGACCGAGGGAGTGCGGTACTGATCCTCGTTAAACTGTTCTACCGTAAAGGAAGGACGCCGCAGAATAATATAAAAGGGGTGCAACCCTCTAACAAACTAAACCCCCCGCCAAAAAAAAAGAAAAAATATTCTGTTATTACATTTTTTTTTGTTATTACATATACTTTCATCAGTGAATTTTTTTCAAGATACTTTTCTTCATTGTTAACAAGATATTTAAAAAAAAAAGCTAACCATTTATTANACTTGCAAATTTTGCCACGAGAAACTGTATTGATAGCGCTGGCATAGCTACTGACTTTGAAACACAAATAATTACAAACAGTAGTTTCGTATACTGACGTGTTTGCGCACGCTTAACTTTGGTATTTATTGTGTTGATGAAGTTTTACAGTTGTGAGACGTCAGTTTGTGTTATACACCTTTGTTAAACTAAATAACTAATGAAAATATAATGGAGCAGAGCAGTTATCCATCGGTGTCCGGTATGTACATTTTGATGAGAGTAACAAAAAGACGACAATGAGTGAAGAATTCCTCGGCTTTACCCCACTAGAAGAATTGAACGCTCAGTTTATTTAAAAAATAATCATTCCATTTTTGAATTATTGCAATTTGGATATGACACGATTTGTGGGTCAAGGATATGACGGTTTTGCGGCAATGGCTGGTCAAGAAGGTGGAGTTCAAAAATTGATTCGAGACAAATATCCTAAAGCTATGTTTTTTAATTGTGCCAATCATGCATTGAATCTCGTGATCAACGACTTAAACCGCGCTAAAGAAGTACAGAATACTATAGGGACAACGAAGGAAATTATTAGCTTTTTCAGAGAAAGTACCTTGCAACGAAAAGAAATTCATAACATCCCTTTACTCTGTGAAACACGCTGGTCAGAAAAGTACAAGAGTACCAGACGATTTTCCGATAAGTTTGTTATAATTATAAAAGCTTTTAGAGGGCCTTACAGAAAAAGCTGCAAACAAAAACACCAAAGTGAATTAACAGCTGCTACAACGCCAACATACATTGCATCACTTTTTGTTATTGCTATTTATTTTGTCAAACTTGAACCTGTGTGCAATCAGTTGCAAAAAGTAAACACAGGTTTAAAGGAAGTAACTGATTATGTAGTCAAATTGATAGATGTGCTGCAAATTCATCGAAACAATGCTTCTGAGGAGTTTACCGCAATTTTCACGAACGCAGAACACATTTGCGAAGAATTAGGCATTGAAATGAATCGACCTCGAGTGGCATCTGGACAAGTTCATAGATCGAATGTGCCTTCTGAAAACGCAGGTGAGTTTTTCAGGAGGTCAATCGTTATTCCTTATTTGAACTCCATCATATCTTCGTTGAAAGACAGTTTTTCTTCAACACAAAGAAAAGAATTTTCACTCTTACAGCTTCACCCCAATGCGATGAACAAACTGGACAAAGCGTCATATCTTGAAGTTTTAGAAGATATATATACTATGTATAAAGATCTGCTCTTACCGAATTTCATCACTGAAGCTACAACGCGGTTGTGAAATGTGGAGGAATAGAGAAAATTCTTATGAATACATCGATTTAGTTATTGATTTCACACCGTTTTATTCAGCTGTAGCGGAGGCAATCAAAATTGGCCTAACTCTTCCAGCAAAACTGTTTTTCTGCAAAACAAAATTGTGGTTATGTATCTCTTTAATTGTTTTAAAAAAGCCAGGGGAGTGCAAGTGCACCCCCCTACAGGCGCCCTTGCCATAAAGTGCTCAACTTCGCTTGCAGGTCGTCGGGCTACCGATAACAATCTAATGTCTGCAAGATTATATGCCAACCTGCATCAAGTGCTAAATAGCTAGTCTTTACAGCAATAGTATGATAAGCTATATACAAGCATCGTATACTTATTTGTTGTTTAATCTTTTCCCAAATAGAGAAATAGACACATTAACGCTGAGAATATTATATGCTTTTTTAACAGGCTATGAAGACATTTTTGGTAGGAACAGCCAACATGATGCGCAATCATTTAATTACTACTAATATAAGAGCTAATGTAATATTCAATAACATTACATAATACTATATTCAATAATATTATTCAGAATCTCTATATATATATATTTCTCTTACACGGCGACAAAAAAAAGCCTCATTGCAACTCCCCGAATGGCAACGCTAGAAAATCGACCAATGATTGCCGCTAAAAATGTCACATGCCAAATCTAGCTGAAATGGCTCAACATATAGCACTTTTAAAGACGGAAACTGAAATAACCAGATCTCTATTNAATTATATATTTAACATATTCAATTTTTAAGTAGCTAATGTTTTCAATTAACTGTTATTTCAATTCTAATTAAGTGGGGGAGACTGTTGGGATCTTCCATGTAATTCCACTGGCGCTAGTATCGCGGTTGTGATGTAACTGCAACTGTGTTTACATTGTATGTTTCAGTTTCGATTTCCAGTATGTTCTATTGTTGATGTGTTCTATGTAAGTATTGTGAATAAAGTTATTGTTATGTTATAAGTTATAAATATGAGTGCTATCATTGTCAATCATCCTAAATACATATCCCATGCCTTATAATAAACGGTCACAACAATTAAATACTAGTCTATCTAGCATTTTGACTTTTAAAATTGTCCTCTATTTCACTACTTAACGACTGGGATCACTCTTTTAGAGAAGGAACACCTCATATTATTAATTTTTTATTTGTGAAAGAAAGCAATGAATTAAAATATCCTTTTTCGCTAATACAATTTTATGCCAGAAAACACAAGAAAGTAAATTATTTTACACATTAGGGAGTAGGGAGAACTGCAGACTCTTTATCGCCTATATTTCCGGCTTACTATATCCTGTGTATTTTGAGACCATTTGGTTCAACGTGTTCTTCACTGCGTTGACAGTTATTACAGTGAAAAATAGAAATATAGTAATTATATTGACATGTAATTATATGTAGTTATATAATAATAATAAACATAAACGATGAATAAAATAGTAAACAAGTGGTTTAAGAGGTAAAAAAAACTTGAGATTAGAATAAAAATCGTTATAAAACACTTATTACTTTATCAATATTATACAAAATTCCAAATTTAAATAGAAATGATATTTTGCAAAATCCATTTTGCCTCGTACTTGAACTAAATACTAACTCTATTGTATGCTTGAAGAAAAAAAAACGAATAAGTCAAAAGAAGCCAAATCTGAACAGCCAAAAGAGCGAGTTTTTTCTAAATATTGCAACCATGTTGCGTTTTTTTAAAACAATCTCTCTATAAATATATAAAACAATTTTTCACTTCAAACAAATCAGAATTACTTAATATCATTAATATCTTATGAAATGAAGCAGATTTGAACTCAGAAATTATATTATTTATTTTATTGGAAACAAAATTATTTGTTTGAAAATATCGGCTCTAACAATAAGCTGCAGTATAAGAACCTGGTAGGAAAAAACCACACGGATGAAACATTTTAGTTTTTTTTTAAAAAAAAGTATAAAAATAACAGCTGAGCTTTATGTAACGATGAACTAAACACAGTCTTTAATTTATTTTTAGAATCTTAGTACCGTAGATGAAACAAATTTCGATTCCATGGCAAAATGGATTAAGTAAAAATATATGTCTTAAAACACTTTTATTTAAAAACTTTGACAAATTAATATACATTCAAACTACAAAAAACCTTTTTTTTTTTTTGTTTTTCTGAAAAATTTTTTTTCAGTGTGGGGAGAGTCATCTCGATTATGTCAACCTTCATCTATAAAAAGGTGCCCCACCATAGAATCAAGTTAACATGTTTTATATACTTGTGAATTAGATTTTTGTACTGGTAGATACACTACAGTACTCCCCTACCAGAATTATATCTGTGATAGAATACGATGAATGGATACAACTAGTTGATTCCTTGCTGTTCTGTGAGAAGCCGGGAGAACTGTATTAAGATCATCGGACTTTTTAAAATGCTAATCGGGAGAGCTGTATAAAATTCATGATCGTGGTAGCTCCTGTGTTGCCATTAGCAGTCTAGTGTATACAGGCCGACGTTGTGTGTGATCTTGACTGAATAGCAACGGTGCCAAGAGGTGGATAATGTTACTGTCACAAGTAGCAAGTCAACTGTACAATGAGGAATCCATAGAAGTCACCAATGTGGGGAGAGTAGATATCGATAATGTCAACCTTCATATATGAAAAGGTACCTATTAATATTATCAAGTTAACATGTCTTATAGAGCCTTATAATGAATTGAAATTACATTTTTGTAGTGGTAGATACACTACAA